AATCCCATCTCTACTTAAGGATTGAAACAGGAGAGTCACAGGCTCACAAATGGGGACTGAAAGTATAAGAATGCTTTAATACTGATAGAGAAGAAGAGAAGATAACAATCCATTGGCAACATCCCCTAATTTGAGGGAACACACTACACATTCTTTTCAAAATTTATTCCAACATACAGAAGAATTTAAAACTAAGATTTACGTTATACTCTGCAATTAAAAACATTTGATAATATCCTTAGGGACACTATCAAAATGTTTCTCTACTTCAGTTTTCAGTGTTCTTGTTTCCAATTATACTGTTCTAAGTACATCTTATAAATAAATGCCATTTTAGTTTCACCATTTGACTGGATTTATTTCATATCAAATGGCAGTTAGTTAAACTCCTGAAGCATTTAATACTTAATCTCTCAACAGTGTATAGTGTGTGTATTATTGGGTCCTAAAAACAACATATTTAAAACCTTGAGAGAGTAGCTGCATTATACTGATGCAGCTACTCTCCCAAAAATGGCGAAATAACAGATTACAAAGCATCTCTTGATCTTTTCATCCCCTCCTCTCCCTCTTCTTTATCTACTTCTTTTTGTCTATTGCTTATATATATACATATGCACCACCTTAGTTGGCAGAGATCAGAGGGCATCAGCTCCCTGGAAATGGAGTTATAGACTGATGTGAGTGGGCACTAGGAATGGAACCCAGGTCTTCTTCAAGAATAACTGCTGAGCCATCTCTCCAGCCTTCTCTTCTTTTCTCCATTTATCTTTTATAAACATTTTTTGGCATTTTGGCTTTGCAAAAGTAGCCTGTAATCACCAGAATTTTTTGTAAATTTTCTTTTTTCTTCTCTGTGTAGCTTTGGCTGTCAGAGAAGCAGACAAGGCTGGCCTTGAACTCACAGAGGTCTGCCTCTCTACCTCTGTCCCATGATTGCAGAGATTAAAGGTTTGTGCCACCACTGCCCTGTGTAAATTTTAATTTTGTAGGGTCTTGGCACCTGACCTGAACCTGTGGCCCTTCTCAAGTAGCTGGCATCACCACACCATCTAGTCTGCTTTTCATTATTAAACTACAAATACCATTTGAGTAATGTATTGTGCTTATTTTAAGTCTATGTGTTATTGTTTATTAGATGAATGCAAGTATATTTTATTCTAGAAAATGACTTTCTCAGCACCCCCTTCATTTAGCCCTAACAAATGTTTTCCTTGCCATCTACTTTACTTCCTGCATCTGAATAGAAAGGTAGAAAACATCCTCAGGGACTGGCTGTATGTTCAAAAGAGAAGTCTTCAAAGTAGACCCATGGAATGAAGCATATTCTCACAATTTTTGCTGTGAGACTGGTTAGTTTCAACTAACTTCCTGACAAAGAAAGCTATATTTCTAAAATAATTATTTTATATCATTATCTGGTGTGAACTTAACCTACAGAGGATTTGATAGATGTATGACCTTAACTGAGCCAATAATCTTGTATGTGGTAGACATGAAAAAAAAAATAGGTCTACTCATTCCAATTCCTAAGATTCAGATGAGATGACCCAGGAAAATGTCTTGGCAGTGTCTCCATCTGGCTCATAGTAAATACATGACAAGTTTTCTTCCATTGCTCTGTGGAAATAATTCTGAAAGGAACAGTAAGTTTTGAAGAGCATTGGCCCTTCTAAGGAATCCCCCCACAAGCTGACAGTGAGCTGTTCAAACAACTTTTTTATAGGCAACAGAATTTACCAGTAGTTAAATGAATCATTTAAAAAGCATATAATAAATCAATCTTTTTCTTTCTTCTTTCTCTTTTATGAGACAGAGTCTCACTCTGTAGACCAGGCTGTCTTTGAACTCAGAGATCTCCCTGCCTCTGCCTTCTGAGTACTGGTTTTAAAGGAGTGTGCCACCATGCCTGGCTTAGGTTTATATGGGCTGGGGAGGTGGGTCAGTGGGTAAGAGTTTTGTTGTACAAACACAAAGATCTGAAATGAAATTCCCATTTCTCAGCCACCTAAAAAGCCAAGCATGGCTCTCCTTATACTTCTGTTATTTCAGGTCTACAGGGGACAGAGATAGGAGGATCCCTAGGGCTTGCTGGTCCCCAATCTGGTTCAGGGAGAGACAAGGCTTCACACAAGTAAAGAAAAAGTAGACTGTAGCTATAAAACATGAATTATCGGAAGCAAAATCCAAATAATTTGGGATTTGTATCTTCCCCTAGTTCAAATCGATCAAATTTATTCTTAAAACTTTCCTTTTTATTCTTTGAGAATTTTGTTCAGTGTGTTTTGATCTTATTTACACTCTCCACAACCCCTAGTTCCAGCTGATCTGTCCTTACTCACTCACCTTTGTGTCTTTAAAACAAACAAACAAAACCCATTGAGACCAGTTTATGCTGCCCAAGCACTCCCAGATCTATGGCTTCATCTGGAGCATGGTTGGCTCTCCAAGGGCAGCGTTCTTAAAGAAAAATTTCTCTCCCTTTCCTAGCACCTAACTACTGACTACCAATAGCTCCATGGCGAGGGGTGAGATTTCATGTCTAAACACTTCATGCTGAAATTTTGTCAGGTTTGGGTTTGCACAAGTCTTGTGCATGCTGCCACAAATGCTGTGAATTCCTAATGCATCTGTCCTGCTCTGTCCAGAAGACGCTGTTTCTTTGTAGTCATCTACCACCCCTGGCTCTTACATTCTTTCTACTCTCATTACTACAATGACCCCTGAGCACAGGGAGTTGGGCTGTAGTATATATGTTCCTTTCAGACCTGAGCATTCTATAGTGTCTTATTCTCTACACCTTGTCCAGTTTGTGGGTCTTTGTGTTAATTACCATCTGCTGCAAATAGAAGCTTCTCAAATGAGGTTCGAGTGATGCACTGATCTGTCTAGCTACACATTATTGGGTTCTTGGCCCAATAATGGTTCCAGCTTTGGGCTTCATCTTCCAGAGCAGGACTTAAATCCAATCAGAAAGTGGTTGGTGACTCCTATGATGTTAGCGACACTATTGCACTAGTGAACATGTCTTGCCAGGCCAGCCATGATTGTAACTTGCATGGTTTAAAGCTGGGTCTAATTGAAGATTATTTTTCTTCTCTGATAGCATTTATAGCCCTTTCCAGAACAATGTAAGCTATTCAGTAGGATGAAACCTCTGGGTCAATACCAGCTTTGTTTCTCCATGTTCTGTGATTTAAATATGTAGTGTCTTTAGCAGTAGAATTTTACTTTCAAGCTCTGGAAGGCAATCATGAGCAATGGCAATAGCCTGTAATGTTTGGTTGGGGGTGTATAGGACTTCACTGTCCAACAACTCAAAAGAAGTAACCATTCTTGGTACTGGCCTTTTTAGGTTTAGCATGTGGTGTCTAGTAAGGGTATTGTTGCCTATTATTAGGATAACATCATTTTAAATATATACGTATATATGTATATATTAATTTAATAAAATATTTCAAAAATATATAGCACACATAAACATACATATATACATACATGTGCTTCTACAGTAGTAGGTTTCCATATCCTTTTTAAAGGGGCCTTTAATGTTTTTTTTTTTAATCTCTTCACATACTCTTAGCCTTTAACTGCGGGCCCATCTTTCATAGAGCCCATCCCTCCAGTGTACACTTCATTTCAATGTCTTCCATAAATTAGGTGGCTTCAATGATATACACTCTAGAGAGTGAAAGAAGACATTGTGAGATTTCTCAGCAGGGTTGGGTTTTTATTTTTTAAATAATATTAAAGTGGTACAAAGGTGACATGCTAAATTGCATGTCCAAAAACTCATTGATATCCATTTCTAGCAGCTTTTATTGTGATTTTTATGTGATTAATTTTCACTACATTGACACAAATTAGGTAAGTGGATTTCAGCTTTTTATTCGTGGACTGACGCTGAGAAAATAACCTTATTTTGACTCAGCAATTGGTGTGTCCCATTTCCCATAGCTCACACCCAGTACACAGCTGTGATAATTCAACATTGTCTGCTGTTGACTTACTGGTCCGTTTTCTCTTCAGTGATGTGGATTCTGGTTTGGTTGTCAGAGAAATGTCAACTTGCCATTTAAAATTCAAATATTTGCTTTCAATGTTTTGTCAACTTTAACATCTCTGGGCTCTTTGCTTAAGGAGTATGCCTCAAGTAAGATTATTTTAAGAGAAATAGATATGAACAAATTGTGACTGCTCTGATCATGATTATTAGCGAAACGAAGAGTGGGTTCTCTGTGACCACCCAGGCCAGCATCCATGTGAAGGAAGAAGATCCGGTTCAGCATGACTCAGTAGCCAGTGTTGGTTCAGACTTCTAGAATCTAACAGCAGGAAGATTGTTTAAGGCATGTTTAAACACAACACAGTTTTAGGAGGAAGTTTCCTAGTGGCAATTGACTCAATCCCGTGTGCACAATAAAGCTTATGGTATGACTACACTGAACCTTTTCGAAAAGCACTGTGACTTCTTCCATAAAGATGGGTTCTATGTATTGACTGCATGTCACATCTTAAGGGTCTGGGGGATGACTTAATGTGGACATGGTCATACAGGTAGCATAGAGGTCCCCTAGGCTATTAACCACATTTGCTCCCATTTGTAAAGTACATGTGACATCTCCCACAAGGATGAGTTCGTTTTACTTCCTCAAGACAAGGGTCTAAGGAGGAAGATTTCGGGGAAGCCAGGTGTGGACTGGCCCTACAGATAGCACAGAGGTCACCAGGTTATCAGTCACATCCCTTTCCAGACTTCCGGGTAGAATACAGGTTATACATCTCTTCCTTTGAAGAGAAAAGTCTGCGTCTTTAACATTCCTGGTTCCCCTAGTGCTTATCTGTGAGCTCAAGAACCTCTGTGCCCCAACAGCTGTGTGTGTTACTATAGGCAGATCAATGAAACCCAGTGATATTTTTATCATTATGTTTTCTTGGTTTTTTTTTTTTTGTTTGTTTTTTGTTTTTTTTTTTGAGAAAATGCCTTCCGTAGCCCAAGTTGTTATCCTCTGGCACCTACCTCCCCAGTGCTGGGATTACAGGTGTGTTACCTCCTTGTCCTACAACTGTTTATTCTTTAAGGAGCCCTATTATGACAACCCCATCACTACCTAGCACTTCACATTAAGATGTCACTTTTCACACAAATTTTATGATCCGTTCACCAAGTTGGCAATCAGGAATGGAGAATGGGGCCGTTCTTGAAACAGTTTCTAATGGCTTTTGTGTACAACTATTTCATTCAAAAGGCAATGAACATATTCTGTATGTTTTTCCTAAACATCATCTTCAGGGCCTGGGGAGATGGCCCCATCATTGAAGTGCTTGCCACATAAGTGTGAGGCCATGAATCACATTCTTCAGAACTGACATAAGAAAGCTGGGCCTGGGGACATGAGCTTGGAAACTCAGTCCCAGGAAGGCAGAGACTGGTGGACCCTTGGGATTTGCTGGCCAATTAGCCTAGCTTAACCTGTGAGCTCCAGATTCAGTGAGAGAACCTGTCTTAAAAAACAAAATAATAATTAAGGAAGTTACATGTCTTTATCCTTACCTACAGAGGACAAGATATTGAACATGGTTCCAGGATGGGTCAACCTGTGCTAGGTACTTTCTTATTTCTTTTTCTTTTTTCTTTCTTTCTCCCCCTGCCCTGCCCCTGATTACAGATAATAGGCAGGGTCTGGCTGTTGCTTCCTAGTGAAGCAAAGTCAGCATGCAGGGTAATGCAGTCTAACTGCTGACTCTTATCCTTTGGAATTTCAAAGAGGAAGGAAAAAAAAAAACAGGAAAAAATCCTCTAATGTTGCTCTCAGCCTCAACCACTCCTTCCCATTTTTGGAAGGGTATTTAGAATTAGTTAGAGATCCAGATTTATCATTGCTTATGCTTTTATTTCTCTTTTGCCACAAGCTCTTCAGAGAAACGAAACACAAAGAGCATGAAAAGTCCTTGGCTGGATGAAGCAGTTGGTCTGTTTCAAATCCCGAGGCTGCCTCAAAACAAAACCAATCAAAGCAAAACCCTAAACCCTCAAAACTCCAGGACTCTGGCTGAATGGGGAGTTTGGGGGAATCCTATTTCCTTTGTTCGTTCCTTCTTTCTTTCCTTCCTTCCTTCCTTCCTTCCTTCCTTCATTCCTTCCTTCCTTCCTTCCTTCATTCCTTCATTCCTTTCTTCCTTCTCCCCCACCCCCTTCTTCCTTTCTTCCTTCCTTCTTTCTTTCTTTTTTTCTTTCTTTCTTTCTTTCTTTCTTTCTTTCTTTCTTCCTTTCTTTCTTTCTTTCTTTCTTTCTTCCTTCCTTTCTTTCTTTCAGATTTATGTGCATGTGTGCATGGTAACAGATCCTCTGGGACTGATGTTACAGGCAGTCATGAGTTACCCAGTGTGGGGCCTGGTGATAGAACTCTGGTAAATTCTCCTAACTGCTGAGCCACCATCTCTCCAGCCCAGAAAGTCCTAGTTCCAAAAAAGTAATTTGTAGTCGGAAGTTGAAAGTTCCTAATAAATCATAAAGAAACACTCGCTACTGTATTTGCATATACTAAATAAAGAATAGGCAGCTTTCTTCAGAAACTGTAACCAAGACAGAAAATATAACTGAGTTACCATTTTATTTTTTAAAAAAGAGATGGGCAAGGGAGATGGTTCAGGGCTTTAAAGCTTTTGCCACATAAGCCTAACCACCTGACCTCGATCCCAGGAACCTAAGGAAGCAGTAGAGAACTGGCTCCTGTGACCACATGACCTCTGACATATGCTGTGGCGTGAATGTGCCCCCCATCAGTAGTAAGTAAACTAATTTTTAATGGGCCAATGGGTAACTCGCCAATGTATCAAATAGGTAAATATGGCTATTAGATATAATTATTTATTGTACAATAAAATATGTTTTTCAAGGAATAAAGTTGGCTCTTTGTTTGTTGGCTTTTCAAGACAGGGTTTCTCCGTGTAGTTTTGGTGCCTGTCCTGGATCTCACTCTGTAGACCAGGCTGGCCTCGAACTCACAGAGTTCCACCTGGCTCTGCCTCCCAAATGCTGGGATTAAAGGCATGGGCTGCAGACGCCACCACCACCCGGCTAAAGTTGGCTCTTAACATCACTGCTTTCTTCCAGCTCCTCAGAGTCAGGGTAGACAAACTGCACTCACTTCTGAACTTGTTACACTGTTATTATCTCTGGCTCAGAGTTCAGAGGTTATAGAAAGAGACCTCCTGTTAGGGGAGGGTTGAAAGTCCTTGTGGCCTTAGTAAGGTCTGCTTTTGTTAACAGTTACTAAGTCAGAGGTCAGAGCGCTGAAGAGAAATGAAACACAAAGTAAACCAGTAAAGGGAAAGTCAATCTCCAGATGGAGCCATCCTGGCTGCCAAGGACACTGGCCCTGTTCCAGCAGGATTTTATGGTCTGGATGTTGGAAGAGAGGGGGAGTGGAAGACAGGGGGATCAGGGTGGAAGGAGAAGGGAGAGAGGGAAAGAAATAGAAAGAGGGGAGAAAGAAGGAGAGAAGGAGAGAGGGAGAGAATAGAAGGGGGAGAAAGATGAGAGGCAGAAGTGGGTAGACAGAGTGAGGCAGGGAGAGTCATCAGCATTTGAAGTTGTTGGTGGGTTTATGGAGAATGAAATAAGCTACTGCCCAGATTAAAAACCTTCCAGGCCTTTATTTTAAGCTGCCAGGCTTTTGTATCAGGTCAAGAGGATGAGGAAGAAGCTGCCATCTTGGAAGGTGACCTTCTTATTACTTAGTTATGGCTCCTTTTCCTATCTGTTTGCCTATTTGAAATATATCTAACTGCTGCTTCTTCAATATTGCTTCTAAAATTTATGTACAGGCCTGGAGAGACAGCTCAGTGGTTAAGAGCACTTGTGGTTCTTGCAGTAGACCAAGGTTCTATTCCCACCACCCACGTGTCAACTCACAACTGCCAGTAACTCCAGTTTGGGGCCGTCCAACACCTCTTCTGGTCTCCTCAGGCATCAGGCATGCATGTGGTGCCCACATGCAGGTAAAACACTCATATATACAAAATAAGAATAAATAAACCTAAATAAAAAGATCTTAAGATGTTATGTACTTATACTTTTTATAACAATTATTTATTGATTCCTTGGGGATTTCACATCATGCACCCCAATCCCAATCACCTCTCTGTCCCTCCATATCTATCCCTCACCACTGCAGTATCCCTCCCCTGAAAAAAAAAAAAACTTTGCCCAAATGAATTAAAAACAAAGCAAACAAACAACAACAACAAAAACCTACCTTGCTCCTCCATCTTTCCCGTCTCTCCAACACCTCTTCATTTGTTCGAGTGGCATTGGGAGCTGTGGTAAGTCAGGCGTTCTACCCATTTGTCCAGTCAGCCACACCTGCAAAAGTTCATTGCAATGAGTCATTGGTCTGGTTCAAGGCCTCTAGCACTCCATCATCACTGGACCCTCACAAAAATTCCTCACAAAAATTCCTTTCAGATTTCCTGCTATTGATAGCCTGAGTCATGGAGATCCTGAGGCGATCTCTCCGCAGGACCAGTCCCTTCTTCATGCAATCCAGCAAGAAATAGATGGGGTAGATGTTAGGGTGAGCCAACCCAAGGCCCAGGATGTGGGTCTGGGTTGTAGCTGAGCTGGTCAGTCTGGGCTACTGGGACCACTTCCCCCCTCAGGCTGGGGGCAGAGCCAGATCTTCTATGTCCACAACATCAGGGCCAGCTCTCCCACACCCTTGGTGAGGGGTGGGACCACTCTTCAAAGTGTAGGGGCCAGCTCTCCCATGAGGAGCTGGGTCAGTGCCCCTACTGTAGTGTACAGAAAGGTGCAGGGCCAGCTACCCTAGGGCCAGTGAAGGGAGGGACCAGCTCAGCATGGCCCCCAGATTTCAACATGTATGGTTCCTATTACTCACTGTGGTAACATGGACCATGGACATCAACAAAGACTCCAGTTGCAGCAGGATCACAAACCCAGACGTGGCCCTTGGCAGCAGCCCTGGCCTGGATGACACCATGACCCTGGGTGATAGGCACGACTTTGGTGGTGGCACACTCCCCAGACACCAGCACAGCCACAGATGGCAGCCTAGACCCTGGGCATCTGTGTGGCCTTTGGTGGCAACTTGGGCCATGGACATCAAAACAGACTCCGGTTGTGGTAAGACCACAGACCCAGACATGGTCCCCAATATCAGCTCAGGCTCAGATGTCACCATGGCACCAAGTAGCAGCGCAGGCCACTCAGATAAGCATGGCCCCTGTGGCAGCATGGCCCCCAGACACCAATATGGCCCCAGGTGGCAGCCCAGACCCCTGAAGTTGGCATGGCCTTCGGTGGTATCAGGAGCCACGGACATCAACACAGACCCTGGCTGCAGTAGGGCTACAGACCTAGATGGTCCTCGGCTGGGATGTCACCATGGCCTTAGGTGTCAGCGCAGGCCACTCAGATCTATATGGCCCCAAGCTCCAGCGTGACCCTCAGACCCTCCACTGGCCTCAGGTAACTGCCCAGACCCCACGTATTTGCATGGCCTTC